CGACGCAGACTCAGCCAAGAAACCTCTTTCCTTTTATTATCAATTTAGTGCATAAGATAAAAGAATAAGATATTGCAATCAAGGTGTGGAACGGTTTTCGCTTTGTCTGTGTATCGCGCAGACAGAAGTTCGGGTAGGCTGGATGGCTGGATGTGAGATCGGTTGAAGAGAAACTTGATTCTCTCCAACGACACCAGCTCGCGTGCCAGAATGGCTCGCACGTAAACCGACCAGATGAGGAAAATAAAAAGTTGCAAGACCTTCCAGACCGGGAGAAACAGTCGATTGCGTGCAGTCCTAAACGCGGGACGGTCTAGACCAATGGGTAATGCCATTACTGCGAGTAGGATATCTTCCAGGCGTAAACGACGGTTTGATTTCCAGTACCCCCTTCCCGCGTGCCAAATGACTCCGTGAACCCCGTCGGCTCTGGTCTCCAAATAGTCCGGCCTTGACTGGCACAGCTGAAAGTCGTAAGCAGCTGGTTTACGAGTCATGGGGAGGTCACCAACAATAAAAAGTCCATGGGCGGGGAGGACAGGCAGTGTTTACAATGTTCCTGTGGATTAGGTCGTGACTCCAAGCGTGCGGTCCGGAGTCGTCCTGAGTTCACCCAAAGTTCTCGGTGTGATTCTCAGAACTATGACCGGGTCAGCCAGCGCGCGTACCGAGCCCGACTCATGTAGGAGGACGATAAACTGGCGACAGGAACATTTCTGCTGCAGTGTAGGAAAAGAACACATTGTCTATAGAAATCAATTAATATTATTACCAGTGTTTCAAAATACCTGATATGGAATAATTGTGATGCGAATGTTTATAAGATGGAGGGAGTAACTTCTTTCAAGCAGGCTTTTGGCAGCGCCTTACTGATGCGGGGTAGTATAGCTTGTCTCTGTCGTCCTCAGTATGCCTAATGTTGATGTTGGCACATTTTTTGAACACATAATTGTAGCAAGGGACTCTTTTTACATGTTATGCGTGCTTCGGCCTTCTGAAGATGAGTTCATTTCAGTTCATCTCATTCTGCATATGACAGCGGCGATTTCCTTCCATACGTTTCTGTCCAGCATGGCGGCTGGCAGGTCGCGGTCGTTCAGACCAACTTCATCCTGTAACATTTTCTTCAGGTTTGGTCGTCACATTCTTCGATTGACATCAGGTTGCCAGAGGAGGACTTTTTTGGCGGCCGTCTCCTCATGACTCTTTACTCTCCAGCGAGAGCCAGTCTGCGGTCTGAATGACAGTAGTGTAGTCCATTGTAATGTTTTCTTTTAGTGGTGTGGGTCGACCAGGGGACGTTAATAGCAAACCGAAGCAGGCGGATCATCTAGTTTCCATCTTGTTACGTGGACAGAGATTTTGTTAGGGTACGTATAGTCTGTATACATGATTTGAAGACTTAAAGCTTTGAAGTATTTAAGCTTTATTAAATTTCTGACGTTCTGATGGTTGTACAGTGTGCTGAGAGGCTCAAAATCTGCAAAAGATTTTAGACATCTACCACGAGCGTGAGACGGAGGAACGTCAGCCTAGCGGAGCTGGTCTTTTCTGCTGTCATGTCACTTCAGCGCATATTAGTGCTGCACAATAATTTATTGTTATACATTGTAATTAAATCCATTTGCTGAGTTAGTTTCCATGGAAACGAACTGGGAACGATGCTGTTGAATTGTTGAGAAGTGTCATGGCCAATGACAAATTGCTAGATTCGAAGGCATCAACTATCAAACATAAAGGGATGCCTTTATATACATAAACGGAATGTTGGGGATGAGGAAGGTCCAATTTGTTTGCAGAACGATCATCAGAAACGGCGTAACCGAATGCCGTAATCGCCGGGACCACCACCTTAAGTAACACTTCACTACTTCACAACGTGTTCGGTCCGTCTGTTCAACCCCCATCTTTCAGGGGAATAGCTCTCAATGAACACTCAACTTGTCGTTCGATGGTTGTCCACCCAAGTCCTGCCCCTCCTCTCCGATTTATCATCAGTGCAGTGAATGATAACACGTGTGGAGAACACACATATAATCCTTTCCAGAGAAGTGCCTCCGTCCCAGGCCACAAGTATCTCCCGGCGCTGTCTGTCGGCTCAGCTAGGTCAAGTGTTTCCCGTTATAGCAGGCCAGGCGGCGTAGTAAAAACTTCGTTAAAGTAATCAAGTACCAAACGGTGTGATATGTTTAAAGGGTAGTTGGCCCTATTTCAATTTTGGACTTTAAATGTGAGCAGTATTTTACCGTTGTCGCTTTTCTTGTAGCTGATGTATATAGATCTGGTGGCCATATAATAAAACAATTTTTTTTTTCTAAACCGACATGTTTTTATATCTTTTCAAAGTATCTCTCGGATATACAGCATGGATATAGGACTATTATTTTACAAACTGCTCAACAACTACAGTGTGTTTCGTACGCTTTACCCCAATTTAGGGGTGTTGTGCAGTACCTAAACAAGACAAGACAAGTATACTTACGGTTAATGCATTCGCTTAAAGTAATATATATATATGATATTTATAAGTAGAAGAATAGAATGACAATTCTTCTTATTCAGGAATGAAATCTTCGGTCATGCAATGTTCATGCATGGCAATGAAGAAAGGGGGCAAACTAAATCGTGTTCTGTTTCTTTAACGAAAGCTATATGCAGAAGGCCGATATAGCTTGCGTTATATAATACACGCAATACATTACATTGGACGGACATTGACAATGCAGCTAAGAAGATTTTGACGACGGCTGTTAAGAGTTGGAAAGGCATTGGTCTAAGTTTTTGTTTCCTCTGTGTTTTAGTTGTAAGGATAACTTACCAAACCGTAACCTCTCATCACATGAAATCACCATCGTCAACAGACTATACAGACCCACGCGTCTGCGCTAAATGCGCGTTCTGGATCCCGGCATAACACTTTACTGAAGAGCGGGGACGAAGCTGCTGACGGCAAGTGGCCATGTTTGGTGCGGCTCAAACAGCCCAGATGTTGACTTACGACCTTTAATCGCGAGACCGTTGAGTAAAGATGACTGCAACTGTGTTCTTGGAAGTTCTACGGATATTGAGTCAGAGGAAAAAGACGCAGCAAGTCGCGCAAAACGTCTTCCACCTTATCACACAATGTGTCAATGCGCTGCTTAACTTTCCAAAGAGAAGGTTCAGGTGCGACAGTGCATTTAACGCAGTCTTCGTGTGGCCCGTAAGGTTCATATATACACAGTTTTAGAGTGTATAACCTACACTATATGATATAGTATAGTTTATACACTCTAAAATTGTCTCTATTGATCATGTAGAACCCTATGCATACGAAAAACGTGAGTTTGTATATAACCGAGTTCACTGTAGTAGTTCTCTAGCATATCTATGTATGTATACATTGCCAAAAATCACTTCAAGAAAGCGACGTCTTTTCTTCTCCAGCGTTTGCTTATAAGAACTAGAAAGTACAGACAGTGCTAAAGTTTACTTCCGGTTAAGGGCCCTCTTTTAGCTAAGTGCTGTGAAGTGGCCGTGGCACTTGCGGAGGGTTATCAGAAATTGTCAATAGATTCGAGGTCAATAACTCCTGCCCACGTTCCACGAGGGCTCTCTTAGGAGATGTCTGTCCCGATCTCTGGAAATAGAATAGACAGGAGAACATAGCTAAGCGGTTACTGAACCACGGCGTTTGCTTGATAACCGATAACGGATGTATGCTCCGTGGCGCTGAGTGCGGTTTTCAGCTGAGATAGCTCCATGGTTCGCGCCGTCTGACTGATTGTGTGTTGCGGTTACTCTGAAAAAAAAAAGCAGCACTATACAAACTAGAAATGACTTCTCTCTACGAAACTCCCATCATTACAGCGGAAGGTTACGCGACAACTCATATTGACACAAATGTCAATCATGTTAGTATTGGTAATTTCCCGGTTCGGAGCGGCACCGCGGCTCGCAAAAAACGCTCTTTTGGGAAACAAACAGTTCGTAGTCATCAGGATTACATGATGTAGCAAGATATGACAATGTTTCCTTCTCAACAAACTTTTTTCGCGAGCCGCGGTAACAGGTTCTGAACCGGTTCCCGTGTTCGCTGTGAGGTCATTGCAGGTAACGACATCTTATCAACTTTCTTACTCAGGCGCTCTCTTATCCCGGATGTGCAATAAAATGATTTCCACGATGTGTAGTAAAATGATTCTCAAGATTTCCTTAGCCCAGAGAAGTTTATCCTCACTTTTCACGAACTGGAATAGACACGAGGATCACAGCTCTGGGCACATTGCCAGGCTACAGTGATGTTCTCTGCAAGCCCTGAATATGTGAGACGTGTAACAAGTTAGGCATCTTCCAATTGATCTTTAACAGCGCCCACATGAGCCGTGGAGACCAGCCACAAGTGACACTGACAGATCTCCCCTAGAACTGACTCAGTCAGAGGTTCTCTTTTTGCCTACACACTCGGTCACGTTTTCGCCGAAGCTGCCGTGCTGCAGCTTGGCACACCTCTGGAAGAAGCGTCCTTGGTCCGTGGCGCATGGCACTCTGTGCACTACGGACATTGGTCGCCTCCACGTGCTGGGCTGACCGGGTGATGACAGAGACCCGGGTTTGACCTCCTGCACTCAGCAACACACCGAATGTTTATTTACTTCTCGTGTTATTCTGGGAAGCTAGCAAAGATGACTTGTCGTGACAGCCCCCTGGCAGATAATTGACAGGCTACGACAATTAAAGTCCGTGTGTGAGCGATGCACCCGGAGGTCAGGCAGGGCGTTGGCTTGTCTATCTCTCTCGTCTGTCAGTCGGGAGGTGTGCACTATTAGAGAGAACCTCAGGAGCCAGCAAATAATGTAACATGTCAGCTCGCTCCACCGGCCACCTGTCAATATTCATTAGTCCCTCGGCGAGGGCATTACACTTTATTAGTGGCGGTCTAATTGGACTGCTGTCAGCCAATCGGCGTGGTCATTACGGTACGGACGGCTCTTCAGACGATAAAGGGCGTGGCCTTGTGGGAGGGACGGCCGAGGACGTCATCAGGCAGTCCCGTGCCGTCGGTCCAAACGACCTGAACTCTGAATGAACCACTTATTAATGGCATTTGCGTGCTTGACGGGGGAATAAATACGGGTGAGTGGTCCTAGTGCAGCTCACTCTTGCCCAGCCTCTGTTCTACGAGCAGTGCAGTCTCTCCTGTCAAACCAGCTTCCACCCGCTCCACTAGACCCTCTCGGCACCAACATGCTGCAGGAAGTTGTGGCGTATCTTGTCTTTCCCGGCTTTCTGATGGTCCTTTCCTGGAAACTGTGGGGTCGCTACGCCACCCCGTCAGACCCAGCCTGCGCCCTGCCGCTCCCCCAGGGAACCACGGGCCTTCCGTTCATCGGGGAAACTTTGTCCTTCGTATTGGAGGTAGGATTTTTTCTCCTTTTTATTTGTCTTTGTAACTCCAGTATCTGGATAAGAGGAGTTCTTACAACTTTTTACCGCATCTTTGCCGAGCAGAACACGCGCACTTTATCTAGACTACTGTGAGCGAGGCGCACAGTCGTGAAATGAACAGCGCAGCTTTCGACTTGTCGTCTTCGGGCGCTTTTCATACTAATGTCATTTATTGCATCGCTTCGACAACGAAGGAAACAACACCGTACCGTTCATTCTTGAAGTTATGACCGAGTTTTTTTAGGTACTTTGAAAGTGAAGGAAACATCAACTGTACAAGCTGGCCCATGACATGCGTCGCTGCAAGGAAGCATGGCATGGTTCACCTATTTCGTTTTAAATTTTTTGGTTAAAACTGGATATTACCCTGACACCCTAAAACCACGCAACACAATGAACGCATTAGTCGTATAGTTTTCCTGTCTCTATCAATGTGACAATGATGTCTGTAGTCGATGAGGCCTTTTTGTAGTCGATGTGGCATTTTTTTCCCCAAAGAACTTACGTTTGACCACGTTTTCCTGGTGAAAGTCCTTCGTTTAACAGACTAGTGGTGCCTACACCAAACCATTACATTTTGTGCACGTTTTTTCGGTGTTCAGACCAAGTAGAGGTTGTTTTGTCAATGTGTGGTCGGTCGGTGACCGAGTGCAGTGTGCCGCCGGTCCCGGGCGGTGTCCCCCTCCAGGCGCGGGTCCCGTCCGCGGGTCCAGCCCTGCGCCCGCGGCGTTATTCCAGGCAGTCCTCGCCATCTGGACCACTCATAGAGAGCTGTTTTATGGGAACTTCCAATTGTACAGATAGCGGTCCTAATTACTGCAGCATTGTTGGCATATCTATCTCCAGCATGACCCGAGCGCGGCGCCGTACTTTTAACCGTGCCCGTGTCTGTAGGGGGCGTCGGAGTCGAAAACTATGACAACTCCTCCATAAATGTGTCAGAGTAGAGCTCTTTTCTTCCACCAAAACAACTTTATCCTACTCTCATGTGCAGAGATGTAGCTTCTGGGCAAAACTTCAATAGCGCCTTCATTAGTGAACAAAGCAAAGCGCATAAGTGAATGCCCCAACTAAAGCACTTATTTCGCTCATTAGTTTTCCGTGTCTCCTCGTGTCTTCTTCACAACCGGTCTCGTAAAGTCTGTGGCGCCAAGTGAGCCCACGTTCCTTGTTTCATGAGTAGAAAGGCTTGCTGTTGACTTGGATCGCTTGAAGGGTGGTGGCCTTGACCATGTGTTCTGCCAATCGTTAATGAATTCCGGATTTCCATCTTTTTATTCTACGGTAAACATGCGGTAACGGCAACCTGTCGCTAAACCTGCCTTTCCTCAATCAGCCGATACTAGACTCGTGCGCCACAATTTTCACTGCGTGTTTTTCTTCTTCTATTCCTTGCCTTGATACCGAAGGAGCAATTCGTCCTTAATATAGACGGGTTGTGACATTGTTGACACTTTTCTCCTTCTGTGCGACTTCGCGGCTGTAGGAAGCCTGTCGATGCCTCAGCGCACGCTGTTTCCGGGCCAGGTTTGCTGAACGTGCCGCTACACGACAGTTGAGAGTTATTTATTCCCGAACCACTAATAGGTTGTTCCACAGTGAGTCTGATTTACTCCGACAAGTGCGATTAGTCAGGAAACCATACACAGTTTGAGAGCGGGACCATGTAATTGTCGTTCTCTGCCAGAGCCCTGAGTGACAGCCTGCCGCCCCGACCGTGTAAACTGGAAAGTCGACACCGTGCAGGTGGGGTGAATGACAGGTCAACCGGGCTGAGGCTCTCATGGAGTTTACAAAACGCCTATATAAAGCTGAATATTGAAGTGGACAGGCAGTTTCACTTGTCTGGTCTTTAAGATAGATATCTAGAGCATAGAATGTGCATTACAGATGTCTAAACTCGCCCTGAAACCTACGATATAATCATTCTAAGTGCATCACAAGCCTATAGAAACGCACGCTCGTGGATCATCTACATGCTTGAAACAGCACCCGTTTATCGTTTATTGATTAAAGAAAATTTTGAACATGAACCAGTTGAACATGAACCACCTTTTCTTGTTGAACGTGAGAGGTTGGTCCCTAATTCGTTCATTAGTTTGGCTGACCACCATCCTTGTCTGTTGTAGGACCCTGGCCTTGTAGAGCTTCAAGTGGTACACTTGAGAGACACTTTCCCCCCTGCAGATCCCAGCGCGTGCCCCTGCCCGCGTGCAGGGCCGACCGGACAGAGATAGCACAGGTCCCAGAGAGACCCTAAAGATCGGAATGGCACCCCTAGTACGGCACCCCGGCTGCGTCAGCGAGTCTTCACACAGACGCCCTGACATTTCAAGATGTCAGATATGAAAACGTTCAAGTAGCTTTTTTCGCCTCTTTGCTGGCCCAAATCCAATGCTAGCTGTGTTTTTCTTCGCGGTTCACCTAGCCTGGAATCCATCTGTATTTCCTCTCCACAGAAGCCATATCCGGTACCGGTTGCCCTATTCAGTACCCGTTCGAAAATATATGGTGTATACGGATGTGGGATATATCGATGATCGATACCAGGCAAAGGTTGACATGTATGCACAGATTGCACATGTATACTAGTCGTTATTTCTAGAACCTACTGGTTGCATGCCACGATCTGCTAGCATTCACGTGCGCTGTAATTCTACACTTATGTCGGAAGACTGTATTGAGTTGGTTGACATATCCTAAATGTGGAAATTACACGGCGGTAGTTCTTGTCAACGCTGTTTCCCTGTGGTCGGTACGCTGCCTGACCCTGCCTTTACGCGTTCGCCTGACGAGACTTCAACGGTGTTCTCTGCGCAGTGCAGCTAGCCCAGAATTTCATTTTGGTTATAAGTTAGATGGAACGCACCTGGTGCTTTTTTGGTAATTTTGCATGTGACTCTTTACTGTTGAGTCATGAAGATTGTAGGGTCCGCTGGCTTTGAGTCCTTGAAGTTCAGAGAGCGAGATTATATATAACCTTGTTGTGCCTAAATACGCTGACATCAGTGCGAAAAACGACCAGCGACTACAGTGCCAAACCTGGTTACCGTGCGAAGACAAAAGGATTAACGTTCACCAGTCACACTTGATGACTAGTGTGCCAAATGTACATGGTGGTGTTTTCCAAATGCTTCTGATAATTCCCATTTCTACAGTGAAAAAAAGGAGAGGACTTCTAACTGACCTATCGCCAGTAACGTGCGTGTCGAACAGGGTGATGATGTCGCTTTTCTGAGAACTGTCCTTTTTCCTGACAGTACCGTGATCTTGTGGCCATCACTTATAACATTTACTCATTGACTATGCAAATGATGCCATATTTTGCCTATAGCTAATTGAAATCCATTGGCGACTGGCCATATATGGTGATCTCCTAGACATCAAGGAAGTCCTATCCATGGACAGTTATACAGCATTTCCACAATGATTGTGCAAATGAACTGACACAAGTTATGACTTCGCGAGCCCAAAAGCTATTACTAACGTTAGTTCTTGTATGACCATAGCTGTTCAGAAAGTGAAAGTTCCACTGAACTACTGTACTACTACCAAAGAAAGCCGCTATGTGGCCCATAATCCAAGTTGTCATTCGTTTTGCCAATGCCTAGCTACAATGACATATCAGATTATCTCAAATTTCATAAAGTTCCACTTTAAAAAGAAGTTACTTAGTATGCACTTCACCAACCACTCAACAACAAAAATTGTCGTATCACTAACTTGAACACTCCGTTCTACAGGGTGCAGAATTCTCCCGTAAGCGGCATGCCTTGTACGGAGACGTCTTCAAAACCCACATCCTGGGCCGCCCGACCATCCGCGTCCGCGGCGCCGACAACGTGCGCAAGATCCTCCGGGGAGAGAACGACATCGTGGGCACCATGTGGCCGGACAACTTCCGCATGGTGCTGGGGACGCAGAACCTGGCGATGTGCGGCAGCGGGCCGGTGCACAGGCAGAGGAAGAAAACCGTCATGCGGGCCTTCCGTCACGACGCGCTGGCGATCTACACGGACAGCATGCAGGCCATGATAGCCGACATCCTGCGGGGCTGGTGCAGGGGACCCCAGCCTTTAGCAGTCTACCCCGCGGCTAGAGAGATGATGTTCCGCCTCGCCATAGCCGTGCTCGTCGGCTTCCACCAAGATGATGAAGAGGTCAGGAGAGTTGGACCGTTGTTCAGGACCGCAGTCAAGAACATGTTCTCCCTGCCACTGAACGTCCCAGGAAGCGCCCTCAGAAAAGTGAGCTCAGTTTCATTCAGATCAAGTGTTTTATGTCCAAAAATTATCATGAAATTATGAATTATCATGAATTGATTAAAAATAATTTTCATGAAAGTTTGCTGGTGGTAATCATGATATTCAACAGGTTATAAATGAATGTTCTTCATGTTAGTGATAGTGGACAAGTTACGACTAGACTAGCTGGACTTTGGTCAAAGGAAATGACCTAGATTTCGAGCCTCCTAGCATCTATTTCTATAACCGCAGCTGTTGGGTCTAATAGCTTATGCCCCTCATCTCTCCTAGGCTCTGCAGTGTCGCCAGCAAATCGACGACTGGCTAAAACGTCACATCCACGAGAAGCAGGCGCAGATCTGGAGCGGAGAGGTCCCGAACGACGTGCTGTCCTTCATCATCAGCAGCGCTAAGGACGACGGGGAGGCCGTGGAGCAACAGGTCATGCTCGACACCGCGGTGGAGCTGCTGTTCGCCGGGCACGAGACCACGTCCAGCGCCGCCACCTCCCTCATCATGCACCTGGCGCTGCAGCCGCAGGTGGTTCAGAAGGTGCAGGAAGAGCTGGAGAAGCACGGGCTGCTGCAGCCGGACCAGCCTCTGAGTCTGGAGCAGGTCGGCAGGCTGACGTACGTGGGGCAGGTCGTCAAGGAGGTGCTCAGGCTCAGTCCACCTGTAGGGGGAGCCTTCAGGAGGGCCCTGAAGACATTCGAGATTGGCGTAAGTCTACAAGTTGATCCTTGATCTAAAACTTTCCGACATATCATAAGCATGTTTGTGTAAAATGAGAAAAAATATTGTGTTTTGCGGTCTGTATGCCAATCATAAATGAATTTTGACGCTGCCCTATGCACGTATAGCTTTTCCAGTACAATAACGCCTTGATTTTTACGACAAACAACAAGTTGGTCAGCGAAACTTCCAACTGGTCTTTAAATTCAAAAATCGTCTGCGTCGACTGGCCGCTTGACGCGAAATATCTGCGCCCTGAGTATACGTCGATAGATGGCGCTCGTAGACATCTTGCACTGTTGCGGATGAGTTCCGGCATTTTTGGTACCATGGATTCTATTTACACCATCTATAGTTGAACAAATTCTACTGCGCCGCTTATCTTTGAAGACCAGTAGCCTCCTCGTAGACCAACCTCCAACTGCACACAACTTTCCTGGCGACTAACTCGACCATTGTCTGAACAAGGAGTTCAAAATCTTGGCTTGAAGAAGATCGGAAGACGTCTCGGAAGTTGTCCGGAAATCAAAGTCAGCATTTGATTGGACTCAAAACAAAGAAACATTAACAATTGCCGATTTGTACCTGTTTCAGTACCTGTGTTTACGTCCTAACTCATCCCCAGTTTGTCTGTTGTACACAGGGATTCCAGGTTCCTGAAGGATGGGCCGTCATGTACAGCATCAGGGACACGCACAGTGCGTCACAGGTCTTCTCGTCCCCAGAGCAGTTCGACCCGGACAGATGGGGGGCTACGAACACCACCGCCACCCGGTACGACTTCCTGCCCTTCGGCGGCGGGCCCCGCGCGTGCGCCGGGAAGGAGTTCGCCAAGCTGCAGCTGAAGTTGCTGTGCGTGGAGCTGGTGAGAGCGTGCCGTTGGGAGCTGGCGGACGGGAAGGTGCCCGAAACAAAAACTGTCCCCGTCCTCCATCCCACCAACGGACTCCCCGTAAACTTTGTCTCTTTGGATGACGTCACTACCAAACAGGAGGGTGCAGACGGATCTTCTGCCTCTGCGCATGCTCTGATTGTGAACACCGACCAAGTCACGATCAGTGACGCCTATCTGGACATGGACACAAACGGTAACCTGTACCCCACTAACGTGCAAAACTCCCCGGACACTGTGACTGTCGTGGGACCGGACTTGTCCTGCATGGTCTAAATTTTCATGGAGTGTAGACAGGCGATTGTTAGTAAGCGACGTTCGCACACGCACGCCACCCATACACGCACTCACACACAGGCAAACACTCACGCAAGCACGCACTTCAAGTTCGGCTTATTCTTGATCTAAAACTTTCCAACATATCATACATGCACTTTTGTGTAAAATGCACACTTATATAGACCCCAACTCACACAGAGTTGTATTCTGCATCATAAAATGTTGTAACTTGAAACTCTAATTTATCTCTTGTAAGGAGGCAGAGTTTGGGCCAAATTTGCCACACCATAAAAATGACATCTATGTGTGCTATCCATAAAAATGGTAAGGATTCAAATTCAGGCATTTATGGTACGTGCATAACTTGTGAACATGATATTGTGCTGATGACTTGATAATGAAAAGTTAGACCGATGCTTGATGAATTAATGTACATTGTATGCTATTGAGCGATGGGACGTAATTAAATAGCCAGTATAGTCTAGTTGCATGCCAATCAATATTTATTCATATTATATATATAGCACAAAACTGTTTATTTTCTTACCACACCACTTATCTATAGGGATCGTTATATTATACTTATAAATTATGGCATCATTGATGATGCTAGGTTGTGGACAATTACTGCGGTAATGATAATTGTGGAGCGGCATGTCTATTTTTGGGACAATGATCCACTTGGATATAAATGTTATAATAAAGTTATAAAAATGTTATAATAAAGTTATAAGCCAATATATCAGACAAGTCTGTGTATTTTTTCTCTCTTACTTTGCACAGGGTGGAAAAGCAACAGAAGGGCTTATCAAAGAATTAAAGCAGCCAGGTGGAAATGCAAACAAAACAAATGCTACATCATGGTATACCAGAGGTAGCCTGGTTACCAAACCTATTATAGCTCCCGAGTCCTACATCCTCTCCGCAAATAGTAATTACGAACATTTCTTAAAAATTGTCAGATCAGCCCACCAACATTTTCAACAATTTGTGAACGATTGATTGGACTATGCCTGTATCCTGAAGGTAAGGGGTACAAACAGTCGGACTACACCCTAATGGGTCTGGGTGGCCCAAGGGCTATAGAAATGGAGAAGGGCACTGCCCCTACACACCAAAAGATGTGGTAAGGGTTTTAAATAATGACGGAAATGCTACTAAAATTACCACTTCCCTCAGAGATCATAAGTATGAATGTTTGCTGTCTGAAGACACTGAGGACAAAAACAAGAAAATTGTGCAGATCATGATTTATTTCACTTAATGCCAACTTTCTTTCAACAAGAACAAGTTAACCTCTAACAGCACTGCATATATATACAATGTAATAGTATAATGTATATACAATTTGGACAATAACACCTATCCTGGCTGACATTTTGAAAGCTTTAAGTATAGTGCATTATATTCATGCCTTTCATGGTTTTAAGAGGTCATTTTTTGGACAGCCGATTTCATGCTATGACTGTATAAGTTGACATGAAAACTGGGAAGGTTCTTTGAGTAATGACAGTTCTTCTGGTCAGTCCTCGTGAGTTGACAGACACATTTACAAAATACGGCAAACAGCACATTGACTACCAATACTCTCTTAATTTGTTTTAATAGAAAGTCCATTGTGTTTGAACATCTTCTTATCCTGTGTGTCCTTGTTTGGTAGTTCAACTTCTGTTCCCCTCTGAAATTTCTAATCAACTACTGAAAGTTTTTCCCATTGCTCTTCCCCCTGCGCCCTCGGCCGTTGCCTTGTGCCATGCCTGTCCCTGCCCCGTCCATAGTGTACATGTGGGAGGTCAGACTGGTGCTGTCTGTTCCTGCTGTAGTCACAGGGGAAGGGCAGGGCTGCTGACCATCAGAAGGGTCCACTGTAGGGATCCTGCCCAGGGCAATGCTGCGGGAGGGTTCTGCCATGTCATACTCTGTACCAGTGTCTGCCACGCTGGTGCGAGGTCTGTCTGGATCCTGCACTGTTGCCTCTTGACTGTAAGTTGTTGACGACACGGCCCCAAGCCGCCCTAGAGAGTACGTTGCTTTAGTCTGGACAGGTTTAGGTGACACTGATGATCTGCCTTGAGCCTGGGCTGCTTGAACGGCACCAAGGGTGGACGACTTCTCGGACGACTTGGTGAATTCTGACAGGATAGGCAGCTTTCCCAGGTCCAGACTCTTCAGAATCTTGGCCTGTGTGACAGAGCTTGTTGCCGAGGTTAAACTGCCAGTGGTCAGGGGAAAGTCATGGAACTGGAGCTTTTGAATCACCTCTATTTTGGTTGGGTCATTGACGTCCACATCCATACCTGCTCGCTGCTGCATGGCTACAAAGGCTGACTTGGGGCTCTGGCGTATAGTGCCAGCAGCCTGAGGAGTACTCTGCTGACTTAGGGCTGCTACAGTGCCCTTTGGAGCAGTCAGGAGACTGGCTATGGAAGAGGAGGTTGTAGAGCTGGATGAGTGTGCCTGTGTGTTAAGCGCTAGTGTCAGGGCACCTGCCTTCTGTGGGGCTTTCTGCATACTGGACAGCAGCTGCTGTATCTGTGACATGCTGGCTATGGAGGCAGTAGAGCTAGGGATGGGGTGGCTGTCTATTGCTGTAGTCACTGCTGCTGGCATTGTACCAGAAACAGTAGTCACTGCTAATGAGCCTGTGGAGGAGGAGACAGTGGGATGTGGTGCTTCCTGGGTGACATCTCCCTTTGACAATGCCAGCTGGTTTGTGGTGAGCAGCATCCCTGGTGCTGTAGGACTGTGGTCGCTGTGACTGAGGGGGGAGGTCAGCCCACTGAAGGACAGCCCAGATGCACCGGCTGCCCCAGCTCCCCCCATGTGCTGCTGGGCCTGTAGACTAAGTCCTTGTAAGATGCTGCTGTGAGAAGCATTTTTGGGAAGACCCATCTGTGATAACGCCTGATGCTGGAGCTGAGACAGAGACTTGGTAGCGGAGGGTCCGGAGACCAGACCAGGGCCAGTAGGTGCTGAGACCCCGGCAGCAGCCGAGACTGTAGGGCTGGTTGGAGGGGACTGCAGCAGACTGGTCAGTGTGCTGTGAGTGGATGGGCTGGGGAAGGCAGCTGAGGGGGAGGGGGGCACAGGACGAGACTCCTCCGGGACTCTGGTGGCTTTAGATGGTATCTTCTCTGATGCGGAGGTTTGCCGTGCACGTTTCTTGGTTGCACCGGGGCCATCTTCAAGAGTGGCTGCACTGGCCGCCCGCTTGCGTTTTGGTGCCTGGGCTCGTCCCTTTCCTGTACACAGAGTAACATAGAGAAATCAGTGGAAGTCGCATTTTATATGTATACATTTCAACCATACATAATCAACTTAAATGAATTTTGAATGAATAAACTGGGGCCACAAGCAATTTATGAAGGCTGACACTAACATCATGTCTGCTAGGCTGGAGGACTGAAGTTTATGTCTCATGACTATTACTCCTATCCAGCATCACATCAAAGGCTTAGTCCTCCACATCAGCTGTCACAACTGATCAGTGAGGATGTCACCTGTGCAGTAATCAAAGGGTCCCAGGGGACAACTGCCCTGGTACAGCATTCATCAGAAATGGGCACAACCAACCACAGCCAACAGATTATTGCATCTCGACCATAGGATGCAGAGGGTGGACAAGACTCTACATACTGCTGAACAGCAAGAGGGAAATTCTGATGGGTGCAACAAATTTCATCCTGATTCTATCCAAAACACATGTAGCCAGGTTAACACACAAACATCATTGTCAAAAAACAGATTTCTCCTTATTTCAATATACTGAATTTTTACTTCAGAAAGAGACTCTGCTACAAAATGGCCCAGGATTCATCCAGCAAATACTGGTAACTATCATAATGCTATTTCCTACAGAATCATCTGTGTGAAAGTTAGGAAGGTCCTGTCAGTGTCCTGCAATAAAACATAACAAATGGCTGTGAGAGATGCACATGTGGACACACACAGGGAGAGGTATGCTTTGAACAGCAGGAGAATGTTGAGTGGACATGGTTCAGGCCCAGGGCAGCATGTATGTCCTTGTCTCTTCCCTAAATGAACATCCCAGGCAGACATCGGGACCCATGCCACTGGAGTCACGTCAACAACTCTTGTTCCAAGATGGGAGATGGGGGCTGGGTCTAAGCCATGTCCATTTTCTTCAAACTTGTCTCATAATGACTTAGAACAACACTAGTGAACTTTGTCTTAAAAAATTCCTTACTGGTGGGTGGCTGTTCCAAAGACCGTAAAACTTTGCTCCATAAAGCCAACACATCATAGCATTATTGGATCCTTGAAAGCAATTAGACCACACAGCAGTTAAAAACCCATTTCATGCCCTGACCCTCATCTACTCCTCACTGTCACAAGATATGTGAGCCAAGGGGTAAAATGTCAGCCCCAGGTCAATCTAATACCAACATGTCAAACTCTGACTTGGTGCATGCATGGTATCACTGTTGATAACCCTTCAGTTGATTGCCAGCTTCCTCTAAATAGTAACCTAAAACCACTGGTAGTGTTAGGCATGGCATCCCCGCCAGTGGAGAAGCTGCCCCTGATTGATGTGGTACATGACATGCTGTAATGTTCCATGTTGGCACAACATCAATTTCCTGGGGTGGGAGTCAGGGCAGCATGGCCCAGCCACTACACATGATGGGATGTAAACACACTGGGGAAGATGAATGTCTACTTCTTTTCACTACCAACTAGGGCAGAGTGCTTGCCAGGAAATCTGGTCTCTTAATCAAGTCAACATGATGCTCTTTTGGATCATGGAACCATTGCACACACAGTCAAGCATACATTTTCCCAATGTATCACCCAAATCAGCTGTCAAAAATAACTTTATTGAAGGACTTACTCTAGTTGCAGACCAGGAGAAGGAATGGAAATGGGAAGTGGCTTTCTATGAACTATCCTGTCCCCCCTGACCTCTGTATGAACTGTAGAGTTGGCAGCCCCAGATGGCCCATAGACTGTGTGGTCCCCCTGCCCTTATCAGATCCACTGGTACGTTTAGACAGGAGGGGAAAACACCACCCCAGGAATGGCCTGTAGCATGGGGTACTTCCCCGGTCCTCAGACATCGCTATTATCTGGACCTTTCACTTCAAGATTTTCACACTGGCCTGAGGAGTGATGCAGACTTGACATGACTGGAGTGATGTAATACCAGAGGCTACCATGGTCTTTCGGGGCACAGGGAGTTCAAGTTACTCTATCACACAGCCAAAGACTTTAGTATAGCTTCCCACCTGAATGTACCAGTAGTATTGGATGGAAAAAGTTTAATGTGAGAATGTCAGACTTGAATGTGATAAAACAACTCTGAACTCATGCATTTCACCTAAACCTCTGTAGTATACCATTGAAATGATCTATACGCCCACCCTAGCTCCTCTTTCTTCCTTTTGTTACTTGAAAATAATGGCCAGACTTGTAACAAGACAAGCTGGAGTAAACTAAGTCCCAGATGAGTAAGTTTCTAAAGGTCAACTCCTCTTTGGATTGGTCTGAATTTAGCAGCAGTTGTGGATTCAGATGTTGTCAATAAAACCTGATACCAAAGATACAATCTGGGAAGCTGGTAGGATATATAGCCTGGAATGCCCATAAAGAAGATTGTTTACAGAACATGTTTGTATCAGGAGAAGGGAGGGGGGTTCTCCTGGGCCAAATGTCTGGTCATGAACTCTCAGTGACCTTTGGTATTTCATAGACCTGCCCTGATGACCAACCAGCAAGCCACAAGTCTGCCAGGAACACTGCCAAGAACAATAGTGCTTAAACAGAACAAGGTTATAATGTTTCTGACTTATGGAAACAGATTGGTGCAAAAATGGGACTGGTGGGCTGACATGTAGTAAAGCAGACACTGTAGGCAGACTGTTCTTGTCTGTGAAGAACCCCTTGTCATGGCATGGATCAGTAATCTTATTACCACTTAGTAACTTACAGTTATATGTACTTACTTCAATATACATTTAGCACTCTCAATTTATAACCTAGTATAAAGTATCAGTACTTTTCAACACTCGGGACCAAAGGTCAAGTAGTGAATGTTTGTTTCAAAGTCAGCTGTGACAGGGTAAAAGGATGTTACAAAGAGAATTGGATGCACAGGTGTGATGAAAATCTGCACACAGAAGAAGATATGAAACATTGAATAAATGATAATATTATGGTAGATCCATGCTTTAGGGGTGCTGCTGTTGTATGTTTGAAGTAAATATCTCACCAATACCTGGAGCAATACATATTAGCTAATCAGACAACACAGATCCTCTAGTCACTATAATGCAACAAAGATTATGATTCTTCATCATTCTCAGCTTGTTCAAGTATTCGATATTGTCCTGCAGTAGAGTATGTCTGACCAAGCACGTCAAATAGGCAACTTTAGAGTGCATAACGTATAATATACATTGTTTGGATCTCACTAAAAGTTCCATTTGTATGAAGTACAAAGTCTGACCAACCTGGTGTCTTCTGACTGGTGAGTGAAGCTTTGTTGGCCTGTTGTTTGAGGAACGCTGCGTACTGTGCAGCATACAGGGAGCCACTTATGGTGGTGGATGTTCCTGTAGACACCTTCTGTGGGGAGGGCTTCTCACCTTTAGACCCAGGGGTGCCAGGGGTGCTGGGGAGGGACGCTACACCCTGGGAAAGTACAATTACAGGGTCAAGTGGCTGTCATTAGGATGAGGCAGCATGTAACGCTTTTCCTATGTCTCTTACCACTGTTCATGTAATGATATTTTAGTAATAGCCTCTGATGAAATGTCTATTGTATTTAGCTCAATAAGGTCAAGAACATACAAATAAAGATCATCATCATATTCTAATACTTTGGGCCATACTACGACAGTTCTCATTTGGCAGACCATGTGTACAAACTCGGTCTCCTCACCTCACTACTGTTACTGGGTGTCTGAGGTCTCTGTTTGGCCACAGGGGAGGACGTGGTGCCCAGCTCTGTGCTCAGGTCACGCTGGACCTTCCTCCGCCGCTGTTTCTTCTGTACCTCCCCCTCCATGTCGGCAGGGGGGTCTGAGTGGAGGGTCAGGGTGCCAGAGCTGACCTGGGACGACAGGATACCCCCTAGGTACTCACTGATTTCATCCTGGGTCAGAGATGGAGCAATTCTCAGTGTGGTACAGGTGGTGTCATATACAAGGTTATCATAACAGGTATTCACAGGTCTATTCATAGGATCTGCTATAGCCTTCAGCATGTTGTAGACATTATGCTATTGAGGGCACTTAATGCATTTTGTGAAAACGTTCTGAACTGAGTTATGTCATGAAAGTTAGACTGAAGTTGAAGATTGACGTACAAAGATGTGTTGCTATACATGTAACCAGTGATAGTGAATAGCAAAACAAACAAAAAATGCATACAGCATGCTACGTGTACACCACAACATTCTGCCATTCAAACAGCAAGCCAGTGCAGTGTCCTTACCTGGATACACCTGTCCACCATGGTCTGGGTCACCCCCTCCTGTTTCTTCTTCCCCCGGGTGAGCCGTAACATCTCGTCGGCCCCGCCCACCACCACCAGCTGGTTGTCGGCCTTGATCTTCTCCCGGAAGTCCTCCATGTCGTCCACGGAACAGATGGGCGAGTCCTGACCAACCACGAACAGGGTCGGTGTCTTCAGCTCCAGGAGAGGGTCGTCTATGTCCTAAACACAAGATTTACAACAGTTCAAGAACAATACATCTCCTAATTCTCTAAAATAACAAGGCTCAAAATTCTCTCTTTTTTATACCTACACTGCTGAAAACTACCCGTAGCAGAGAAATTCTACCTGTGCCTGTCATTTTCTTTACCTTTTAGTCCACCAAAAAGCAATAATATTTTGCACCATCTTCAATGTGTGAGTGTGTGTGCAGATCAGCTACGAATAGATTAGATGTAGATTGAGGAGTCAAACATCACTAACAGAAAGAAGGGAGAAGCTTAACTATTAACAAAATGTTACAGAAACTTACCCCACGGCCTCCTTCCATCCCTACAAAAGGAAAGCCCAGACAGACGACTGCATTCACCGACTCCGACACAGCAGCCTGCATATACATACAGTCAACAACAATCAACACCTCATAACAAACATGCGAAGGAAGAACACCAAGAACACAATGTCAGCTTGTGTTACAACATAAAGAATGGTTACTTACATGAAGGGCGATGAGACCTCCTACTGACCAGCCTATCAGCACAATGGGTCTGTTTGGGAAATGGCCCCGTAGCTGAGGGGAGACAATGTAGTGTTAATGGCTGTCTTTAGTGAAAACCGTATTGTTGAGTTGAGAGAAAACCTGAGCATTGAGTTGACAGGTACTGAAGACAGACCAGCTCACCTCTCCCACTTTGTTCTTGACTGCGCTGACCATGTGTTCCAACAGCTGGGAAACAGTGACCCCTGACCCTCCGTTGACAGTGTGCATGGTGACCGGGATGACCTTGCCCAGGTTGGACAGGTGGTTGTTCCAGAGCCGCATGCGGCGGGAGTGGTGCACCGACGGGTGGGTGGGACCGCTGGGCGCGATCAGCAAGATGGGAGATCCCGGCAACTTCCGCTGTGAGGGGAGAGACTGAGAGTTCCAACTTGACAATATTTTACTTTTTCACACTTAGAACATGCATATAGGAGTAAACACATTACACATTCATTTTTTTCTTGTTTTGTACAAGTTACCAGAGAATACTGAAGCATGCTCTCAACCACAAAATTTTCTACACTTCACAATTCTGAGTAACTCCATCTGAAGTTTGTACTTAGAGCTTTTCTACTCATACAGGTAACAATGACATCTTTCTCTACGCAGCTGTCTCTAAGGCTTCTATACCTTCACACATGCAGCCCAACCTTGATTATTTGAAAACTTGTTATCTGAGGCCCTTGTCGCATGGAAAATAATACTTTTGTCACAACACTTTTTTATTCCATTCATTCCAAAAGAGGTGCTTTCAGATAACCAAGGTCAGCCGTATCACCTCCTTACATGGGTAGAGCTTGTGGTTGTCTCGCCATATAAGCTGCATACCGGTTTGTGGGTGGTAAAGACGCTGACAGCGGGGTCCCAGGGGCGCTTCAGGAGGAGGCTCAGAGCCTCAGCGCTCGCCGCTCCTTGAGAGGTGGACAAGCTGATCATCTTGTCTACTAAACCTGGAACCTACAGGGACAGACAGGGGACAACTGTGACATGTGCAGGAAAGACTGGAGACATATACAGACTATCAATTCAGAGGGTTCTACCATATATTACGAAAAGGAATAAATGTAACATGACAAGCAATCTTAGAAACAACCCAGGTCAATACTGACAATGCAGACTCAACATACTCGTTCCGAGTGGCTGTCAACAGGTTTCAGCAACAAAAGATGATATTCTGAATCAAAATTCTCTGACAATGTTGAGTGCACAACTATCCACAACAAAGTAATGTGTTTTACCAACCTTGGACTTAAGAGTCTGCAGGACATCCAGGTAAGCTGCCAGTAAGGGTCTGCTCAGACTGTCCACCAGAGTCTGGTGCAGCCACTGGGTCAACTTTGGGTCCTGCAGGGGAAATACTGCTACACTCAGCAAACTTTCCATGTTTATCTGTTCTCACTTCAAACTTCCACTGGACTTAACTTGTCACTTTTGATTCATGAATCATGGTACATGAAAATGGCAAGTCAAGGAACTCTAAGCAGTCCTTACAGCTTTCTTCATTGCAGATGGCAAACATTGTGTAAGTTACAATGTTCTTGTATTGGACTGAAATGTTCACTACTGGTGATCATTCATTGTAACACAGTTCCTGTACCAGGATTGGTCAGCTCACCCATGACACAGAGCCCAGCGCCTGCCGCACCCGTCTGGCACACTTGTCCACGTGGATCCTCCGCATGACGGGCTCGTTAACAGCCTACAGAGGTTACAACACATCACATTACAACTACAGACCACGACTGTAATCATGCAGATTACTTCTACCGGGTACGTCTCGTCTTGTAGGAAATGAATGATGTTAGAGCCTCCTTGACATACAACTTTAGTTAGGCTTTACCCTTCTCAGAACAAATTCACTCTCTTTCTTTTCTATGTATGCGTGATTCTTGTAACAAGCAGCAAAATGCCCTCCACACTAGATTCAGGTACTCCATACTACCTGGTATTTACATGGTTAGTACCAGTAACTTACCCCTTCATATGTGAGTCTGGCCAGTCTGTCTGCCTGTAGACCCTTCAGGACCTTGTTGAACAGCTTATTCTGGGCTGGAGTCCAGCCAGTTCTAACATAAACAAATGAAAAAAAAGTACCATCAGAACTATCATAACTTTCCATTTTTTTCTTCACAAGACATTTTGAAAATGCTTGCTGTAACATATGTTTCAATTCTTTTTTGTGGACTAAACATTTTCTTCTGTAAACATGTACATCCCTACATGTAAAGACCTGGTAAAGAATACCAGTAGTAGTAGTAAGCTAGAAGGCGAACAACAACCTGGGTACATTCCTAATGAGGGTCACCATGGGGTTAGTTAGGTAACCATTTACTGTAATTAATGCCTAATCTAATCATGCTCAGCTCATCACAATCTTCCTCAAGAAAAAATCTAATCTGTTATCCACTTACAAACACACACAGATTCTCCTTGATCATCACACTTTATATAAGGTTGTACCAAAGTATGACATGAGTTATGTCAAGTCTGGGACACATCCTTGGCTTTTCTGCTGATAGAAAAGTAGACAAAATAATGAAATAACCCCAGACGAGTCCTAGTTCTCACATGAGATTGGAGGGTGAGGCATGCAGCTTAACGGCTCAGTTGACTGGGAAATTGTAATAACCTTTCAACGAGCTCATTATCCTTATAGGGAGTGGAATGCAGCTTTCCACTTTTGGCTCCTAATTAAAAAGACTTGCCATTAATACCACTAAATTAAACCGGGTCGTTAATAACACTTTTGGGTCATCAGGAGGACAAGAAGTCACAAGGTCAGCCTGGGGTCGCACAGGTCAAATCATGACATGATTGCTGGGCTGGAAGGAAATTTTCTGCAGCTTTAAACAAAAGACCAAGGAAGCTTCTGTGAATAGTCTTATAAAGTTGGTAAATCACTGGATAACAAATACTACCAGAGAATTCATACACAACTTTGTTTCAAGTATACATTCAAAATATATGCAGTGCACAGGAAGCCAGAGGAAGGCCAACCTTGTCAGTCTCTCTTCCCAGTCATCATCATTTGGTGGCTCTACGGAGTCTGTTCTAGCGAAGTTCACATGGCGCTCGCACTCGTTCATAACAGACCGTGCCTTCACCCCATCATATGGAACAGCTACGGGCTTGGGTGCTCCCACAACATCCACTGGAATTTCTGCTTTGCTATGGGTCAAAATAAAAGGAAACAAAAAATTGTACATGTCAAACTTCCAGTGCATAGGTATGGTTTGTGTTAACGTCATCTGGCTATTAAAATGCCTTCCTGACAAACAGCCCTCCCCACAGCACTGTAAAAGTCTGTTGTTCTTTTCAGCAACAGCCAATTTCATGGTACACTGCATAACAATCAATAGCTGTTAAAAGATTAGAAGAAAACATGGAGGAATGATTTTACGTATTGATTGGTTCGTTCTGCTGGTGGCGGATATTCTTCGGCACAAACAGGGTGCGAGCGGGGCGTGCATGGCTGGCGTCGGGATGCTGACTCCAGGGTTTGGCGTAACAGTGGTCCAGCAGCACCAGGTCCAGCTCTCTTTCCCGGGCAGACAGCTGGTACAGCAGGGAGCTGCCCAGCCGGCTGTGGTACAGAAACGTTCCCTCCTTCGTACTGGGGGATGTCATCAGACTGGCCATACTGCACTGGGCAAATAAAAAAATTACATGGTCACTACCCATTCAACAAAAATCACACCATAGGTCTATCAAAGGAGATTCTACACAGCAACCTCACTATTTTCCATTCTGCAATGTTCCCTATATTATAATTAGTACTACTCTGGGTTAAAGAATCTGTTACACCCGAATATGTTCAGTGTTGCGTGTCACATCTGATGACATCATCTTACTTTATATGATGATGATGTAGTGTCTGAGTTACTACTAGTATATCTTTCCACACTTGTCAAGTACGCCACCTTGCGACTAATTGCATTTTCGCAAGTATTAAATGATGGACGAAAACACTGCAGTGTGAAGCTGTGTTGTAAAAATAGACAGCAAGTCTGTCAGGGTTGACAGTAGAACGGGTACTTCTGAACTCCGTTAACTATTCATCACATTTGGTGATCGCTGTTAGGTTTACTGAACAGGGGATAATCGCGAAATACGCGTGTAAAACGGTGACGCCTTTGTAGCGTGGTCAACCAGTTCCTTGCGGTCCTACTCCTTGTCAAACATTATGAGTAGAGTAACAGACGTATAGGCGGTGTACCTAGATTATTGCTGCAATCTATAATTGTGTGCCTACCTTTGTGGACCACACAAAAGAGCCCCAAAATGTTAAATGCCTTCCATATCCTCGCTACATTTGTCTTCTTCCCGCGTCCACCATCTTGGTAGCTTTACGCCGTACGGAATATTTTGTACCTCCGTCGGAACTAGTTTCTTGCTTTGGTTTTTGAAAATTGACGATTTTCTCCGATTCCTTTGTACCGTATTTAGTCACTTGAAGTTATGCTGGTGTCGTACAATGTATGAATTTGACTGAAACTTGGTTAATTTCATATTTTTCTCTAAATTAGTTAGTGGAGGGGTGTAGTGATACAAATCCATGTTATAGTGAATGGTTCACCACAGACCCTAGTCACTAATATCAACACTCCCAGAGTGCACTGCGATGCTAGCTGTTGAAAGAGTGCAGCAGCAGTGACTCATGGGAAAGCAACACCATCGGATATCCAGGTAAAAAGTTCTCAGCGCGGCCTGTCCGAATCACCGAGAAAGATTTTCAGGTTTGTTGTTTTGACTTTTATCATTTTCCTCCTAAAGCAATTTTCGAAGAAATTGGGTAGATTCTTTGCTTGTTAGCGCAGTTAGATAGTCATTTGTTGCGATTTTTTCCATAGATGTACAGAACTTGTCGCCGCTACGTGCTAAAAAACAACAACATCTGCTTTTTGAGTTTGACAGGAGATCTCGAGAGCATGATTCCATGATCCATCTCATCATGATCATGCTTCCATCTCAAATTCGCCCTGCACTTTCCATTCGTTTCTGTCCCCCCTTTATTACCCAGGCTTGGTCGTCCTGTACTTACGTATCAAGGCCAGCGTGGTCTATGTCTATCGTTATTCGTAAAAGGGAGAATGTAGATAAAATATTTGTGGAAGTGCTAATTAGAGGTTTACAAATTACGACTGCGCATGCTCAGTGTCAAGGCCGTCCCCAGAGAGACGTAAACAAAACTCCTCAGACCAGGCTTTTTAATAATAATGATACTAGTATGTGTTGTCCAGACCAAAAATTGCACGTATTATATATAAAACTCTACATGCAAAATTAGATATGTTACATTATTAGGTAATATCATTATTAAATAATGAATAATATGCATATATGAATTATTGTAACGTTAAATATAATATCTTGCAAGTAGATTTTTGAAGTAATGTTAGATAACTGTGAAAGTTACTTCATAACCAACTTATCATCAGTCTTGATCAGTGGGTTTGTTCTATAGACTTTCTAAGATCAGTTAGATCACTATGGAGTAACAAACCAATTTTTGTTAACTCAGTCTTGCCAACAACGTGGTGAGGTTCCTGTGAGAAACTGAGGTGAAGCTAAGAAGATGAATCCTTCAGTCAGTCCAGAAGGGGAGAACTGGTGGTGCCAGCCCAAACGGTCAAGTCTAAACAATCCAGAAGGCCCATCATCATCATCACCGTCATCATCATCATCATACAACCAGAACCACTACACTCCCACCGAGCCAGACCTCAGGGAGCCTCCATCCCAGGGGGTGCCGGGTGAAGTCACCCCCAGACTTGGCCTGACAGACTCTCAGCTCCTGTGGTTAAGGGACACCATGAGTAGAGGGAGGGAGAGCTCACCACCCAGTGTGTCCCTCAGCACCCACAGTCCTCCAGCTGTCACAGCTGGACCAGCTGCAGAGACAGATGCTCCACCTGCCCACATGAAGGGGATGCTGGCAGCTAGGGAGTACCTTCTACAGCAGCTAGGTGCGTACATGTGTAGCTGTGTGCTGATAGGTGCAGCTGTATGTAGCATGACTATATACTATTACAATGTAATTTCATCTGCCAGTGACATACATCATAATTATAAACACAATAATAACTAGAGAGGCCGACATTTGCTTGGGAGCAAATACAGCATATTTCAGTCCATCTCCCTCCCACGCAACAGTGGACTATTCCAAACTTATATACCCCAGTGTAAAACTGGCAAAGATTCTCAAATAAATGAGTTATATAGTAGCCATGTAATAGAGAACAAAGATGCAAGAACAAGCACATTGAATCTCGAAAGCTTTACTAATCTTCTTACAGGTATGCAAATACTAACAATGATGAGATTTGATACATTTTGAAGGTCTTAGGCACATAAAGTTGAATGTGTGGGTCATTACGCACGACTTACGTGCAATGTGACCTCAGGTAACCCGCAATGGAACACGTGTTCCATGGCCAACGGCAGATGGAACGTGCCATTCTTTAGATAGAACATGGAACGGGTATAGCACTTTTGGCCCTTTTTTTACTGAAAATAGCCATTAAAGTCCCCCAAATGAGTCATTTGGAAGTGGTGTATGCCAAATATGTGACTGTTGTTCTGTAGACACATGTTCAAGGTACCCTTATACCGAATTTCAGATCAGTTGGTTGTAAAACCAGGGCTCAGGATCCAAAAATCCATTTTTGGCGAAAATGCCCCAAAAACTCCATAAAATTTTCAAAGGCATGTACAAAAAAAATGAAAAAACGCATGGGGGTATTGGCCCACTCTACCTCCATGCCAAATTTCAAGTCATTTGGCTGAATGATGGCGGAGTTGAATCCCTCTGACTGTTTGGCAGGAGGAGAAGGAGAAGGAGGAGAAGAAGAAACATGAGAGAACACAATATATTTCATCCATACCATGGTATGGACTGAAATATAATGAAAAAAAAAGTTGTATGATAAAACCAGTGGTACCTATGAATGTTATGAAAGTTCCAAAATGAAAATTACTGAAAGCGTACATTTTTTGCAAGATTTGTACATTTTGCCTGGTGCTTTGTGCATTTTTATAACAATTGTAGATTTGCATGGTGTTTAAGAGTTTTCATGTAATCTGTACGAATTTCATCAAATTGTTTAGGTACCCTGAAAGCAGCTCAGTTGTTGGCTATTACTGTATCTTCAGTGTATTTGTGCTGTAACATTTCCTCTTCATTTGCAACTCCAGGTGTTGGACGAGGGAGCTTAAAGAAACCATCAGGTGACTTCTCCACTCCTGGTGGCCCTGTGGCCCCAACATCACAGTCTGTACAGGCCTGGAAGTCCCATGTTCCTGGACCGGCTGGGAACTTCCCTGTGCCTGGACAAGCTGGAAAGTTTCCTGTGCCTGGACAAGCTGGAAACTTTCCTGTGCCTGGAATGGCTGGAAACTTTCATGTGCCTGATCAGGCCAGGACGCCCCATGTGCCTGAACAGGCCAGGAAGTCTCATGTGCCTGGACAGACTGGGAAGTCTCATGTGCCTGGACATACTGGGAAGTCCCATGTTCCTGGACAGGCTGGGAAGTCTCATGTGCCTGAACAGGCTGGGAAGTCCCATGTTCCTGGACATTCTGGGAAGTCCCATGTTCCTGGACAGGCTGGGAAGTCTCATGTGCCTGAACAGGCTGGGAAGTCCCATGTTCCTGGACATTCTGGGAAATCCCATGTTCCTGGACATTCTGGGAAGTCCCATGTTCCTGGACAGGCTGGGAAGTCCCATGTTCCTGAACAGGCTGGGAAGTCCCATGTGCCTGGACAGGCCAGGAACACTTATGTGCCAGATCAGGCTGAGAAGTGTCACATCCCAGAACACACAAGCATCTCCACACAGGCTGATGGGAGTGAAAGGTGAAAATTTTTTTAAGTACCATGTCATTCCTAAAGTACTAGTTAGAGGTAACTTCTGATTCTAGTATTTCAGTTGGTGCAGACATTTTACTTCATATATGCTATTCTCTTTGTATGTATATATATATTATACAATATGCTCATGACATGATCCATGTTACCATGATCAAATGATAAGAGTGTAATTTAAGACCTAATGTAGCCCTTTGCATGTGAATTTTGGTCAGACTTTTGTACACTATGCTTATGTTCTACTTTTGGAGTGGTTTAACCCAAGTTCATTTTTCTACAGCAATATCTATGCTGCTTATGTGGAGAGTATGTATGAAGGGCTTGCAGCAGCTGGTGGCTATGCATATCCACTCAATGATAGAGTACAAAAACCCCATCAGAGCTCCAAAGATAGAGGCAGACAAAGACAGACTCCACCAAAAGAATACAATGGACAGGTAAAGGACAATTGTAAAACTGGTGAAAAGCCACTACATGATAGGCTTGGAGTCAAGATATTGGGAATGGAATCGTACCAGAGCTATCTTGAAAAGACTGTTGAAGAGGAACCAAAGAAATGGAGGCAGATTCCATGGAGCGAGATTAAAAGAAACACAGACCATGTACCCCAAACTGCAGCAAGCCCAGTAAGCAGAGGAGACATGAGGGAGGAACAGAAGAGTTCAAAACAAGGGACGGGAGAAGGAACTAGTCAGGCGAGCAAGTATGTACCCAAGGAGAAGGAAGGGGCCCATGTAGGAAGACAAAACTCATCATGTGCAAGCATGAATGGACAAGGCAGCAGACAGTGGAAAAAGACTCCTACCAAAGAACCCCCTCCTGTTGGCAGTGTTGCTGAAAATGGAGCTGCGGAGCAGGCCCAGCTTGGTCCACGAAGGACAGAGTGTCCAGTAAACCTGGCAGCAGGAGGAACAGCATGTCTGAAGATCTTTCAGTCATCAAGGCTGAGTATGATTGGCGGAGGTTCCAGCTGGAGCGCAAGTTCAAAAAGGTACTGGTAATTTGGCACTTGGTTGGAAGAAAGAAAATTTAATGCTTGAGTCCTCTTCTACTGAGGCCTAGGAAATAAATGTTGTGTTTCCTGTTTCCCGACCGACCCTAAAAAACCGCCGACCCTAGCCTTATTTTTGTGTGGACCCCTGCATATTGCTGAACCAAAACATTTTGCACGACGCTACCGAGAGAATCGCTGTCATTGGTGGAACATCGGGCGCCCCGCTAGCGTTTTGAAGTCGTGTAAACAACGCTAATAATTTGTCTGATTTGTTTGTAAAACAAAGCCATCGACTCCGAAAATAAGTTTAAAAGCCGATACATTTACGAACTAATCGTAGAAAATTCCCTACCGTACTGCACCATCAGCATGCGGCGGCCGCAAAAATTAGGCAACGCGAAAGAAAAATGTCTGGTCCATGATAGCAGTATTTCTCATAAAAATAATGTATATGATTTATTTTTCCCCCTTTGTCGGTCTTTTAGTCCCAAAACGTCTAAAAAAGCGGAAATTTGCCCATAAAACCGGACGAGGAAAGGTAGCTATCGACGT